ATTGACGTGGATATGAATCAGTGAAAATAATATTGTTTGCCACCGTTATTTTGTTATTAGTTTGCTACATCCGGCGACCCAACCAAAGCCGCACATCACCTAACTCGCAATACCTTTCTAGTTTGCATATTCAGTTGTATTGCATTATTATATGACACAAATTAACCAGTGACCATTGAAAATTAGAGCGAAAATTCATCGGCCATTTATATTTAAAAGGAAAGGATGTGTTTATCGATCTAACCTCCTTTTTACTTGCTACTACTTAATGCGTCTAATGGAACCCGGAAGAACATCCCAAAAATAGTTGAAGTAAGGTGGTCTCTTTAGTTAATATTTAACTTCCGTGGAATAAATATCCTCAAGAAGTTCATAGATGGGGTATTTGATGAAACTGTTCAAAATTTGTGCTCGAAAGCTTTGGATTTCGTTAATTCCGTAAAAGTTTTGTTTTGATGTTTATCACGGTTCACCGACTTGTAGTGGATTTCTGCAGAAATCCTGATAAGGAAATCCGCAACTGATTTGCAAACAAATGCATTGCAAATATAAGTGAGCCCATAAATCACATTGTCCTGAGAGTCCAGTAACATTATTAGAGTTATAACCACCATAAACATCATCTATGTGGCGATGTATTCTAAATAACCCTCTAAATGATCGAGACAATTCTTCGGGACTGTCGTGGTGGAATAAATAGAATAAATTTCTGGTATCCCTCCCACTTTTTTCATTAATGTTAGAGCTCAGGAAGTAGTGGGATGGAGATATACGAAGTTGATAAAACCTAGAATATATCTATTCGGAAAGCAGGTTTCCATCAATCAATGTCAATCGTGAGATCAGAAGCGCTTCGGACACGATCGTTTGGCGATTGCACCGAGGCAAGTGGAGAAGAACACGATAACATCTTATTGGTACTTTCACGTACAAAATTTTGAATACACGAAATTACTCCCATATAATGAAATAGCTTATTTCTCATGGCTAGCTGAGTCTTTTACCGGTCATTTTTCCGAATCCGTTCTGGTGTCCAAAATGGTGACTGCAAATGAATATGACCATTAGTGGACTACTTGCGTTTTTGAAATGAACGTGAACGCAACCAAACAATCACCGGTGTTTGAAGGAGTCAGTTCAAAAGCGTATAACTGTTGCAGCCTACACTGTAATTCAGAAGAGGCCCCAAAGTGAAATACTTCATGGGGTTTCATTACTAGTTCCATTTATATACTATCAAATTCCAAAAGTTGTTTGACAGCGTTAGCCAAATATTTCAGGCCACGGTGACTGACTATCACTATCTGGGAAACGATGTTCAGCAAACGATTATATTCTTTTTTACTCTTTAGATGGTGGCACTCTTAGGAATTAGACCAGTAAATCAGTTGATAAGTGCATAAATCTCTGTTCGTCGATGAGACGATATCCCTCCCGTATCTTGCTTCTCAGATACTTGTTGTATCTTGGTTGTATATCAAATAAACGAAAGCAAAATGATAGCAACTATATTATTATACCGCACGGCGAATATGAACGCTTCAGGGGGATAGTTTTCTTAACCAGTAGCTATGCATTATCGGGCGACCGTTTTTCGGTAACTCGAATGTTCGAGCTAAGCGGCAGTAGCCAATCGAAGAGTCCCAGCCTAATAGCACAAACCAGATGATGGTACATCATGTAACTAAACAAGACGTGCGTAGCAAATGAATATATGCTCGATCGCTCTCTTCTACGACACAGTCAAAATACTCTGTTTGTATCTCGTATTAAACTCAGTTACTTGTGAGTAACCAATTAGTCAGTTTGGCTATGAGACCCTTAAACAGGAAGTCTTCTGCAACCTCTGACGAACACCTTGATGAAGGCTGTCATGCAATCATACCAAGTCCTAATGTGACCACTTTCATCCCTTTCCGACCCACAATCTGCCGCTTTAAACATCATATGCCTAGGGGATCCCTACACATCTTTCTTCGTTTATATACGGACAACATACCCCAATCATTGTTGTCTGTGCAGCTCCCTCACTTGCAACAGGGCACAACGTTCATAACACAATACTTTGCGCGTAATTCGGAGAAGTATGAGCCATATAGGATAGTTCAGATCCAGATGCTTACTTGGAATGACAGCGATAGATGCTATTACTGCACGATCGCTCAATATGAGATTTTATCATGAAAATTCTACTCTATTGGGATATTGCTATATTACACTCAAATGATCGTTCATATACATGAGCAAATGACCTGCCAGGAGTACCATTGTTATTCAGGTGAATGGACAGTGTTCTTGGTCTTTTATTATAGTATGGTTGATAGGGATGGTCATTGGTGGTACATGTTAATTTCAGCTATGCTTTTGAAAAAATGGACAAATATTTACCATTTCGCAGTGGATAGTCTCGATCGTGCATGTTTACATCAATTCACTAAATTTCAAGTACGACTGAAAATGCACCCGTGGGTGCATCAAGCCATTCTTGGCTTGAAAAAATGCCCATTTTTTGTTATGTGGTTGAGTGCGTAATGCATTCATATCATTCACAAGAACATAAACGGATCTGTCAGTCGGACGGTCTTCGTTCTCCCTCGTGCTCTGGGACATTTTGGAAAATAACAGTTGGTGAGGGGAACAAACTCGAACGTTCAAATCAACTAAAATTTNAAATTTATATCAGAACAAATGGAAGTGTTTATGCAAATATTTCTTGCACCAAAATACTTAAAGAATCGTTGACAAAAAAGATGAAACAATGTTCATCGCTTCAGTCACGAAATACAGGTCTAACCAATGATAAGCTCACCAATGCCATAGCAGAATTCAGATGTGATACACATGCAGAAATAACGTCCGTATCATTTTCGAAAAGGTTTAAGGATATATTTGCTAAGAATCGTGCTCTTTGAAAACTGAGGTTTAAACACAAACTGGGCCCCGATGATCACTGAAGATATGCCAACTATACCTTACCTCTTAAACCGACTAATGTAACTTTCCTAGAAACAGTGAGGTGCCTTATCCCAAATATTAGGTGCTCGTGCTCAGTTATTTAATATCAGGGTCTACAAATCAAGAAGACAAGCAGAATATTTTCTGTTATTTGCAGGAAAATCAACCTATAGACCAAGTAGTTCAAGCTTGAGCTTGAGCCACTAGTTCTGGGGCGCGCCCTTCGATTGGCTGCGCTACGTTTGCGTTCATTGTTACATTGGAATTTATTACTTGGTTTCTGCCATGTTCTCTCGACGCTCGTATCCCAGGGAATTACTAATACGGTTAAAGAATATTCATTGTTCTTCTGTGTTATCTAACTCACATGGTTTTGCCCGAAGTGAATTTTCCACTCGGAGCAAGAAACGAAAGCGTGCCGGGTGGCAGACTGCGCTTGCAAACATTCCTCCCGTGAAGGTGACGGTTCCGTCATTAGTCAGTTGCAACATCCACTCACTGTTTAGCAAACTGGCTGAACTCACGGATCTACTAACTCATCGCGTGCACACAAACACGTGTGTGATATGTATACAGGAATCGTGGCTCAACAAAAACATAGACGATTCGCTGGTCAACATACTTGGTTTTGCAAGTTTTCGACAAGACAGTGAAAGAAGCGAAAAGAAGATTTGAGGTGGTGTAATAACCTACATTAACTCCAATTGGTACGGCAAGTTTGAAACGTTGTTTGTTTTCCCTTATGGTATTGACTGACTTACTGTTTCATGTCGACCTAGGTTTCACCCTTATCGGAGCACAATTATTACAAATCTATACACTGCCCCTTCTTGCTCACAAATTGAACTTAGTTCTTTCTACAATGCATTTATTCCTTTCATTGCTCCCTTGGTGGATAATAATTTAATTTGGATTGTCTGTGATTTTTATCACGGATCAACCCAACATTTACTTTCTTTCGGTCTGTTAGATCTCTCTTTAACGCCCACCAGAGGAAATGCTATTTTAGACAAGCTTATTACTAATTACCCTAATATCTTCTCTCTCAAGCGTCAATTTCGTCTAGCAACCACTGTCTCCTATGCCTTAGACCAAAAGTTTACTCTCGTTTAGCATACTCCGCTTTTATTCAAATAAAACAGATGAACATCAGAATTCGAAACCTTTCAGCCGACCGACTCCTCCTCCGCAGAAAATCTCTTGCTATTATCTCCTCATGGTTTTCCGTTCAACAGTCTCCCTGTTCTGTTGAACATTTTACAGGAGCAGTTAACGTGATTTTCAATCTATGCTGTTCTATAGAGACAGTTTCTGTTCACATTGTCAGAATATGCTCTTCACGGCTAAAAGCTCTTAGAAAACAAAAAGAACTAGCGTTCAGGATACATCAAACAGCCACTGTCAAAAAACTTACACTGCGAATTAGGGCAGAGATCAAATGACTGAATGCTTCATTCGCAAAGTAAGTTTTGATAGCTGGAAGACAGCTATGGCAAGGGATCAGATTGCTTTGCGGACAGAAGAAATGGACAACGAACAAAATTATTGACGTGGACAGCCTCAATGTTGCATTCATTTATCCTTCGAATGATCTCCTGCCTCCGTACCCCACAGATCACCTATCTACCATAGACCCGGTCACCCATGAGGAGATCTATCATCTTCTCTCCGAGCGGAAGATGCTAATCGACTTTCTGTGTTTGACCACCGATGTCTCCGAAGCATTGCTCGTGTTTGGTGGGAACACCGGATGAGCAATGACGAGGTCCGTCGTCGTGTGTTTGGTGCAGATAGTCGCCCTCTAACAGAAGTAATCGCTCTACACCGCCTCCGATGGCTGGGTCACGTATTGCGTATGTCTGCCCATCGACTACCTTTCCGTGCTCTCTTTGCACGTGCCGGGCAAGGCTGGAAGAAGCGGCGCGGCGGTCAGACCATAACATGGGCTAGAGGCATGAAGAAGCTGGTTTCAGATTTGGCTTCGGTTGGTGCAGCCCGCCTTCCAGGTTGGGGCCCAAGGGATGAGGATTGTCTATAGTTAGAGACGCTGAGAGATATGGCGCAGAATAGAAGTCAGTGGCGCGAATGCTGTACGATCTGTCTATCGAAATCCCGTGCCCCTTAAGAAAAACGAAACATCAAACAACAAAAAAAATTGCAAAAGTTGTGCGGTGAAACACACAAAAAATTCTGCTATCTTGTATTTTCCATGTTTAGCTGTCTCACCCACTTTTCACCATAGTTCTGTTCTTAATCCACCTATCCCCTTCACTGTCATTGTTGTTGCGTTGGCACCATGCTTGTTTTCAAGCCGGTGGTAAATATATATATATATCTTCTTAAAAATACGAAAACCACCAACGCAGTTGGCCCCGATGACTTATCTTCGGTATTGCTCAAATATGGCGCTGGCTCAGTTACAGAGATGTTTACGTCCCTCATTACCCAATCAAGTTACACATGTTTGATTCCGGATTCCTGGAAACCATTCACCATTGTTCCCATTCATAAATCCTCTTCATCTAGCATTTAATCTGAACGCCTTCGTCCTATCGCCATCACCTCCTCTGGACTTAGACTTGCGGAGCGCGCTATCCTCACTAGCTTGCAATCTGGTATTATTGTTCCCAGTGACCCCCTCCAGTTTGCGTACAATCCAAATGGATGCACTTTGGATGCCGTCTCTTCAATGATGCAATTTATTTGCAAGTCCTTAGACAGTTCTCAAAAGTCGGTTCGTTGTATTTTCCTCGACTATTCCTCGGCTTTTGATTCCGTTCAACTATCTCTTCTGCTGCAGAAGTTAGAGTCATTCGGTTGTCCCACCAACTTCTTGTCATGGTTAAAAAATTATTTCACAGGAAGCACTCAAAGGACGAAAGCAAACGGTACTTTTTCAAAACAGTTAGTGAATAATTCTGGCATCCTTCAGAGTACTGTGCTCTCCCCCTACATATTTTCGACTTTCGTCAGTGACTTACTCTCAATCCCACCAGCCAAGACCTTCAAGTATGCCGATGATGTGGTCGTGTCAAGTCATCTCAAACCAATCAGACAGAGAATCATTTTCCGACAATTTGTTGCAAGTGCAATCATTTTCGAACCAATCCGGTCTCCGACTGAATACTCCTAAATGCTTTGAATGCATTTTTGGCCATTCCCGATTTAAATACCCCGTGGATCCCTCATTCATCAATTCCCATCACCAGAACACAAACCAAGAAATACCTAGGAGTTACCATAGATATTAATCGACGGTGGTCCTCGCATGTGCTTGCTCGTGTTGGTAGACTGCGTCGCTTATTCTTTCAAGTACGCAAGCTATGGCAATTTCGCGTCAGTCATGAACCCGTGTGTTTCTTTGTTTATCAATGCATTTTTCCTATCATACTTAATTTTTCGCCCGTTATTTCCCCTGGTCTACTTAGAAAGCACTTCATTGCTATATGTCGCGGTTTGGTGATTATCATTCGTGTTTCTCTTATTCCTTTAAACACTCCAATCACAAAATTGTGTAATTTGCATATCACTTCATATGAGAACTTCGCTCAAAAGATACTCAATGACCCAAGTCATCTACTTAATCCCGATTTATCTGCTTTCCCTTCCCGGGCTACAACCCAATCCAATTTTCCAATTTTACCCTCAAGCATAAACATTTATCGCAACTCAACGGTTCCATATCTGGCTCGTATTCTCACTGACACTGTGAGGATCCGTAAAGAACTAATTTTAAACTTACAAAGACGAACACCCATTTAAGTTTCCTTATAGTTGTATATTATTTTCATTTCATTTTTATCCCACTGTAACGGTGAACACATTTTTGACTGAAATATGGGCACAGTCGCCTGCACAAGTCATCTATAATACAATAATAATACAATAATACAAAGGTTTATTATTCGCCAGTGTATTACACTTATCTTCTGATGCAAGAACAAGCAATTACATACTATCGCAAGTAGAAAGTTACCGAAGGACACAGAAGAACGCCAACGAATGAAAAACACGAAAAAAACTCCTAGTTAATAGCAAAAGGGCCGTAATACAATGGTATGTATCCCTTACAATCTAAACGAACCGAAATTTTGATGAATTCGTCGTGTAAATGAGGCGTGAGTTGAAGAGCTAGGAAACACTGGGCAGCTGCTTCGAATTGGTTGGGTCTCATCAGCAGCGCGGATCCAGCTGTCCAGTACTTTCTAGCTTTTCAGCTCACGCCTCATTTGCTCGACAAATTCAGCATATAAACAAATTAAATCTTCCATTACTCCCATAAAACCCGCAGTCTGGATCTCCCACAGCCTATTGGAAATGTGGAGATTGGATTTTGTAAAGTATTGTCTGTATATCAAACGAATCTGTCATCAGTGTAGAAAAAAGGACACAAACAAACAGATTGCTATAATTACAAACATACACTGTTCCGTCCAACCGCGAAACCGTTTAGCGACGTCCTCCAACCCCACTTAAAAGAACATTATTTTTATTTACAATTAAAGAAATCAGGTTTAATTTAAAATTCCTCAAACGAGGTGTGAAGATCCAGTACTTCGGTGTGTGATTACCTAGAAAAATGTTTGCACAACTTCACGAAAGTTGATGGGATCAATGATATTGTGTGTCGATGACTGCACATCGAAAAATACTGTGGTCCGTGAAGGTTCATCAGGATCCAGTCATTAAGCAACGATCAACGAACCTGCATTTGACACTTAGACACTCGCTGTAACGGAACCCCTTTCACGCGTGACTTCCACCTGCTTCTCGACTTTACCAGGCTCCTTTGTCGATTCCCAATTTTTATAACTGAAAGCCTGCAGGAAACTGCCAGTTGTGAATACTGTTCGTTCAATATGATATTGCTTACTGAGAGCTCTAAAAAATAGAGGGATTGTATAAGGCCACCATTGCTGACATTTGAATGAGCATTCTTCAGCATGATGATTGGTTGCTCCTCATCCATGTTGCCACTCTAATTCCCCAAAATACCGTGGATGTAGACGATTTTCAATCAAACATTTAATTGCCCACTGGAAATTGTCAGCATAAATGTTTCTAAGGTTTAAATGTTTTGCTAGAAGCCTTTTGGAAGGAAAGTGTGTTCGAAGAAAAGAAAAAACATCCAAAAACGCAAAACAATAACATGCATCACAACGAAACAATGTACAGTACACAATATTGGAATACTTACTCGCTGCATTGCTCGAAATCGGAGCCAGATATAGCGAGAAATCTCTAGATATTTTGCTTGTATGTGGGTTCAGCTGGTCCACAAGTCCCCGGATAGCATCACGAACAAGCGATAATTGCCCAACAGTGGCTAATAAACATGTTTTATTCGGTAGATTTACTTGTTGCCGATGATGCAAATCTCCGGCCTGGGAAACAAACGAGTAAAGATAAGAAACAGAGAATTCAGAGTGGTTAGAAGCATGTAAGTTTCTGTACATTCTTTCACCTATCCTTTCGACATGATAAAGTATTCGGTGCTAAGTCCGCTGTCCTTATGTTGTTATCAATGCTACCAGAAATTATGGTCAAGTTGCTATGTAACTACTGCTATTTAGGAGTTATGTTGCCATATGAAGACAGCTACTGTGCACAAATGGAGCCACTTATTTTTTCGAAGTTCGTAAGCTGAGATGGTTTGCGCGGTTGGACGGTGATATCCTCATTTTTTCCACCAAACTTATGTGAGGTGTTATTCTGCGGTTTTCCTCAAGCTGATAACCTGATATTTCATGACTCCGGTATCAAAAGCCGGTTTTCTCCTACTTCATTAAGTACTTTTTGAATTTGTATATGACTCATAATAAATTTTTTTCTTTTATTGATTAATTTTTATCTGGTGAAGCCCACGATGATGTACGTTGATCTCTAACAGAGTCGTTCTCACATTTTCTCAGTTTGCTTGAATTTTTTGCTCGCTTAATAATTTCTACAAAAACATTTTTCTACTTGGAATAATTCGAAATAAGTGGTGTTTGACAAATCTCGTTGTGATACGTTGGTTTTAATTTGAGTCTATATTGACAGGTTTTACTTTTCATATCGAATAACGTAATCAAATCGGTTATAAATAAAAGCGCAGATTGCATAGCTAATCATGGGCATAAACATAATTTAAAGATGATAGAGGGAGGCGCGACGTAAAAGAGTAAACAACAATACACGAAGCAGAAGAACCAGACAAATAAAACGGGTATGGAGACTGATACATTTTCATTGACCCTTAGATAAAAAGACCCATACACAAACCAACTGCTCCTTCTCAAGACACAAAACGATGATCGGAGTAAAAGAGCAAGTGATTTCCCGTTTTTTTTCACTGAATGGCAGAAGTGTGCAAATCCTAGAAATCACTGGTACGCGATGAGGGTGCAAAATACAGTAATGACTAAAAGAAAACAATTTGCCAAACTTGCTTAAGCCAAACAGCCTTTCCGTTGCCGAAATTGATTGTTTTTGTTTTACTTTGTACACCATGTGGGTTTACAAACGGAGATGAACAACGTGTGATACTGCGTACTTCTGTGATGAGTGAAGTGGGACAATTGAAGTCTCCAGCGAAAAAGGTTTATTATCAGATGGGAAGGCTAGTAATGCAGCATTTGAGGCATTACAAAATCTGATCGAATAAAAAATCAAACAATCATCCATGTTAAGATTTTCAAACACCGCAAAATCTCTGGTAATCGAAACTTCTCGTTAGTCTCTAAGGTTATTTTATTGCATTTTTCCCTTGGTCAGAACATTTCTTAGGATAGCTTTATTTAGACTCCTCCGTGATTTCCTTTCGAAGCCTTAGTATTTATAAGCGATAAAGAGCATTGGACAGGTGTTTCGTTAGCAATGCATTATTTTCGTGTGCCTGTCAGGAATTCAACCGGGAACATTCGAGTCGGGACATCATACCTTTACCCCTGAGCTACACGGTCGATTGTCATCACCTTGTGCTTTTTAAATCAAGTGTTGAATGGAATCATTATATAATGTTTTTAAACTAGCAAAGATTGATACTTTTTGATTATTTTTCCAGGACAGATTGCTGGACTGATTCATAGCTGGAAATATGTGAGTGGTTTTTATTTTTTTGTAAGTCGATATTTGGAAAAGAAGTAAACTTCTCGCTCAGTTTCAGCTGCTGTCAGTTGGTGGATATTGTTTAGAAGAAGCTCGTGTATTAAGCACCCCTAAGCCACTATAGGTAGAAAGCACAGAGCATCAAACGATCTACAAATGTCACTCAAACCCATTTGATCGTTTCTATCTTATCGATAAACCCACGGTTGCGCAGCGCTTGAAGTCAGTATAAAAGTTGCGAAATAAACTTCGAAACGAGCTGTAAATATGCAATGCATACGGATAGCTTACCACGAGCAATTTTAATGCGTTATCTGGTGGAAGATATTTCCTTGGACCATGTTTTGCGACCAATTCCATGGAGCGATTCACGGTGTCGATGGAAGCTATTCAAGCAGAATGGTGCAGATAAAAAACCTGAAATGAGTTTGCGTTCAAACGTTAAACCTGTTCCATCTTTTATTGAACAAGATCTCCTGTGCCAAAGAAATGGTTCCTAAATAAATAAATTTGAATATTGTCACAGAAAATGTAATCTGTATTTATCCGGCTTATTGTGCTACAGTGATCACATGATCCACGGTGCAGTTTCTTGGAAGAATTCCAAGCACCAGATACTACCGCATCAGCTTTACCGCTGAGGCAGTTAAGGTCTCACATTTGGTTAGATTGAAGCATTTCTACGACAAAGAATGGTACTGGTTCGTGTTTCTGATTCCATGTCTGGTTCTAATATAAACGTTAGACCTGAGGTTCTACAAAGATCCACGCTGGATCCCCGATTTACATTCATAAGCGATCTGCCGACTGTTCTACGGTGAAAACCGATACGGCTTACAGACGAGGCCATATTCTGGAATGCAGTAAAACAGCCTGGAAGCCTTCTGGCAATCCGGATATAAATCAACGCAGTTCGTTAATGATCTCTTGCGAACGATATTGAATTCAGTCTTCCTAAATCCAGAGACCTATCACTCGGCCACAAAGTTCGATTCCCGTATTTCCTCAGAAATTAACAACTGACACAAATCGCAGTGGTCAGAACCTATTCGTTGTTGTTCAAGAAGATTTACACTGTTCGTTTAAACGCTGCAAGGTTTTACCCGCAGTGGTGAAGAATGTTGGTTTTCAGATGTACTTTCATGGAGGCTTTGTGTCAGCACTGTTTTTACGTCTGCTATCCCCATACATTCGATCGTCCACAGAGTATACCATCTGGGCATGAAGTCCATAAGTTAATCGATCCTCAAGGAGGTTTGACATGAGGTAAAAAGGTGGTAATACTAATCACAACATGAGGTGCTAACTTTGAGACGCTTATACGAGCTTTGAGGTGAGAATACTATGTTTATATTTTAACATTAATATCATTCAATTGATATCACTTACCACCGATCTTTTTATTTCCTTTTACATCAACTGACTGTGTGTATCGGAACAGATAAGATCGTAAGTCATCACTGGTTTCCACAAAAATCGACACCAATGCCCATAGCATCCATGACTGCTCAGTTGCATTCCTGTAAAGGTAAACAAATTTTATCAGGCAGGCAAAGTTGATGGTGCATAACAAAGCAAGAAATTTCAAAGAATTTATTTTTCAGCTAATAAATGTTTTGTCTATTTAACTCTCCGTATTATTGTCGAAGTTCCATCCAATTTAACCACTTCTTTTGAACCAAATGCGATTACTTGCATACATATGCATTAGGAGACAGTGGAACGGATGATAACAAGTATGGTAGAAAAGAGAAGAATAGGTACTATTTCACCTAGATTGCGGGAGCAAAATTAAACCCAGTGACGAGCCATTATAAATGAGACTTTTGATTGTGATTCCCGGATTAACCGTTTGATCATTTAACAGCTTGATACATTAGCTCTCTATTGTGCAGCGCCATCTCACCAAAAGTGCGTTTGTCCTTCGAACAAAATGAATTTAACTTTCCTTCGAGCTTCACCTGATTTATAGGATTCAATTTACCACAGAGTTACAGAACTTTTCGTCGAAATTCGGTTTTACTGCATAGTTTCTTGATAAAGTAGTACCGTCCCCACTGAGGGTGCGTTGAGTCCCAGACATACGTAGTCACTGTAAGCGGATGAACACATTTTATTCGGAATAGATGATCGCTGTCGAATTTATCAATTAAAACTGTGGAAGGCTCCCGAGGTGATATTAATGGGGAGATTCTATCCTCGTAGCTTTTCCTCAGCATTAAACCTCGCGGAAGGATATATATCAATAGTTATGTAGCTAACGTGAACAAAATAATTTCAGGCTGTAGAAAATTCCAAATAGACAATAGACCAGAGAGCGATCAGCTCAATAAAGGCCTAATCACAAGAAAGCTAGGGATTATTTTGTATCGTGGTTACATTTCTGAGGCCAAATACATGCGCTCGGCAGTTACAATCATTTTTCGAGTCTCGCCACACCCCTCGAGAGCAGTACAGTTTCGGACGTTAGCAACCGCAAAGGCGATAAGCATTCGACTCATGATGCCTGAGCTCTGCGCACAACGCATATTGACTCAAGCTCTCAATCTCCCCTGGCCAGGGGAAGAGAAAATCGTTTGTTCATATGACCATGACGTAATGACTTTGGTTATGTGATCCAAACAGCGCACACATTTGGAGTTCTCTTGGGATCATTGCCAAACACATGACTCATCTACCTTTCTGGTTGACCCTATTGAAATTGTTTCATATAACTTTGATTGTAACGGCTTGAAAAGGAATTCACCGAAAACATGTTCGCCTACATTGCGTACTTAAACAATGGGTATATTCCGTGATTTCAAATACAAACAGTTGAAGCCAATAGGAAAGGAATCATCACAGATGGCAAGTTCACCCGACGTTCACAAACTTGGGAATCCACTCGTATCAATGCTACGCACACAAAGCGCCCTATCGCAAGCACTTCGATGGCCGTTAGACATCCCTGATCCCATTCCTAAGTCTCTCATGCGTCATTATTTAAAATATTGTTTTGAATTCTCTATTATATTGGAAACATGACAGTGTCCCTGCAAGGAGGGACCACATACCAGCAGATCAATTCTCTAACAGTGGGCAGTCATTGTGTTAAATTTCGGAAGATACAATTTTAAGAATAACTTGGCGAATTCTAAGCGGTAATGGCTCCTATTCCAAGCTTTACCAACATTATGAAGACAATATTTATATTATTACAGACGATTACCTTTCTGAACACTTTTACTACTTCTTTATTCAGCCCATCCACACCCCTTTATAATTCACGAAGTAGAAATCAAAAACAAGCTGGTGTTAGTATAAAAATGAGATCGTGTGAAAAACCCCACCAAAACTTGAAGCATTCTATTTGTTCCATATTTGAACAGGTCTTAATCGGTTTGCACATGGTTGCGTAGTTCTGACTGAACCATCGGTTGCATTGTCCAGTCTGTGTGAAAACAAGCAAACAAGATCATCATCGGTGCATATTTCTGTTGAGAGGAGTGATATTTTCGGGAGACATAGATCAGTATGCAGGTAGGACGCAAATGGATCTAGGTACATAGTATTACGATCGAACGTTTCTACCCTGTACTCTGCAAAGTACTATCCACAACACCTTTAATTGATATTCAGGCATCTTAAATTAAAAATTTATAGACCTGAGTTAGAAGACGATTAAGTGGGACATTACGACGCTCATTTTACGGAAAAGAGACATGGAACGGCCAACACCGACACTTTTCAAGCTTTTCCTCATCATCTGCAAACGTGGGATTGTGAGAACCCTATTTCATCGGGCGAGAAGCATTTGTTCTCCAGATAAACTGCAAGAAGAACAGGATTTCATGAGGAGAACACTGCTAAACAATGGTTAACCAGGAAGACTTATTAACATTCACAGAAGACCGTTCAGAAGGTAACCCAACCGAAAACACTGGCAAAAAAGCCATCTACAAAAGGCTTGCATTCGAAGGTGACCATATTTACATTGATGTNTACCCCATAAGTTGAGATCGGTTCTTGACCGTAAATTCTGCAGCTGCTCAAATCAGACTCATTACCCCTACTCGTAAAATTGATCTGTACAACGGTAAACATGGGTGGCAAACCGGTTTAGTCTCGAATGCTTTATACCAGTTCCCCTGCAGTTGCGATGAGGTATACATAGCAGAACAAACCGTCAGGTCTCACAACGGATGGTCGAACATATTCCAAAATGGTTGGCGAAATCCAGGACGCATAAATCATGGTCCAGTGAAGGAATAAGGTCTATATATATATATATATATATATATGCCTCCAAAAGCCTCACTATAGTCGGGGGTGGGTGTTTAGGGTTGCGACTGGTCACTCTTCCTTTGCACCTCACGAAATGCTCCCATTTGGCCAAGTGTCTCAAATAACCTCTGCTGAAAAATTTCAACTCACTGCTTTCTCGAGGTGTTTTTCCATCAGAGTGAGAGAACGAAGAGCCGACGTACGGTTTTGTGGACCACTGGTAGTTCACCTAGGGGAGTTGACCAAACACCTTGATCCCAAACCAACCAAGAAGATGCGTACGAATCACACCCACATCTTTTCGGTTATGACAGTGGTCACAGGCTCAATTGGGTATCGAGGTGTATTGGTCACTTTGGACGTTTGACCCCGTCCGAAGGGCGTATGATCCGATGTACTGGATACCGGCTCCCAATGGATTGCGGTTTTCATACCGCCCCGCTGCCTTGTGGGTCAAGCTTTGGCTATCCAAAGACGCCGGTTGTGGACTCCTCAAGAAAATTTACCTTTCTTGGCCTGGCAGTATTCAGCCCGTATGCAAATTATGGAACGTTTCTCTTTTTCATGAAGAGTGTTGTACCATGATTTGTTTGGCACACAGTCTAACCTCAGACGACTGTGAAATATATATATATATATATATATATATATACATGTTATATACATATATATATATCGATAGGGGGCCAAAATAATCATGGGTTGTAAAAACATATATCTAAAAGATACAAATTACCCTAATTTTTCTTTCAAATCACTATTACGTAATCAAAATACCAAACGTTTGGCAATAAGTGAGGTGTTGCTTATTCTATTACATCACCCGACTTTTTGAGCACAAACGTGTTTGCCACAATCACCTGTCTTAAGCTTCCACTTCTCTATTTAGTAACTTTGTTTACTTGTACACGATCACTCACTAAAACTGCACAATCAAATGTGCTGCGTTTGTCTTTGTTTTTTTTACGTCAGTGATTGAGGAGATTAAACGGAATGTTAACAACTCACGATATTTGTCTCTCTTTCTGTATGGGTGAAATGTAATATGTCCCGATCACACTGTGCACGGTATCTGAAGCGGAAACTGCTACAAACCGGTCTTAAACAGACACCAAACTCAAACCCCGAAATTCATGCTTCGAAGATGAAAACGGTGCTTGCTCTGAATGTTTCGGTGCGAACGGTACAAGGAACACTTTAAATAGTTCCTTAGATGAACTATGAAAAATATATGAAAAATAAATCTAGTATCATCAACAAAAGAACGTTTATCATGATCTGAAAATCATATACCTTGGAAAACGAATGAAATTTCGTCTACTTTAGCGACGAAAATAAACTTAATTTATACGGAACAGGGGGTGAAACCACTACTGACAAGATCGTTGGAAACAGCGGTACTTTAGTAGGCTGGTTAATGTTCAAATCTCGCTAGATTACATGGGGTGCAAGATTCTGATGCATGCATTCCTACATTCGTGCGGTACCTCATATCAACAATGGTATCAAATAATCGTCTTGAAGCCATTTTCCAGCATGATGTTTCTGTAGTTAATAAATCATATCTAAAATATGCTGGTTATTTCGCGGCATCAAAACAGCGGTGTGGTCTATGTGCAACTCTGATTGGAACACAATATAAAACATTTGGGCTATTCTTAACCGAAAGTTTTACTAACACTCTAGGTTTTACACCAAAAAGCACGCTTTGGAGGTATTTTTATTCAGGCCGTGGAAAGATGTCAATACAAAACTGATTCGAAATCTTATGCAAAGTAATAACGTGACGTCCATGGGAGTGATTCGCTCTTATCGCGAGGTTAGGGATGACCCCTTCGCTCTTCTCGGAGTGTAAGTCACCTCCCTGCTCAAGCTTTAAAGAGTGACTCAATGTGATTTTGTTACAAGTTACCATCTAAATTTATGCAGTTTTTTTACTCAAATAAGACCATCATGGTTTCTGGAGTCGATAGATGTCTCAGACGCCAGGGCTAAAGAAGCTGAACTATATACCTGGCGAAAATGTTCCAATGGCACCATAAACGTCTCTTTGTAACATATTCAACAGATTATCTACTAAATATTGGGTCGGGTTAGCTGGTCCACACGTAGGAGAAAGTCACTGATCATAAACGGTCAGTTGGCTGGGGTACTTACTTCGAATAAGTACTCCATGCAGCACTCGGAAGAAAACTAACATCATCTTTATAGTTACGAATGACTGTCTCGCTTGCT